CTGGGGGTCCCCCTTGCTCACTGCTGCCACCCCTCTCTCAGATCTAGGTCCTCCATGGCCTCATGCAGTCACTCCCTGACGCCCCTCCAGGGGCGCTGTGACGGCTTGGCGGTATAGGGTTTACCCACTCTTTCTGTTTCTGAAAGTATGAATCTCTGGTGGAGTAATCTCAGATTTTCATCTCCTTGTAAAAGAACGAAGATGATGCCCTGGTGGGGAGGAGTCTCAAGTCTTAGCATTAAGAGCTTTAAGCCATGGAGTTTCCAGGGCAAAAGGACTGAAGGATGTGGCCTTTCCCTAGCCCCTCCCCACAAACACATGCAGATGTGGACCGTAGCTGTTGAGCGTTTGGAAACAGGCCACTGAAGAGGTTCCACCGTTTCACGGAAAGCCTCCCCGTGCTATACGTACATCTCAGCCGTGCCAAGGTGACAGTTTATAATGATGTAACATTTTACGTGTCAGGTGGTTCGTGGCTTTGCAGAATCGAAATTGAGGTCTAGGTGGTTTTCTGAATAGAGGCCACGTGGCCACAGCCCAGAAGCAGCTTAGACTTCTTTGTATTTTGCTGCTTAGCAAACTCTCTGGGGCCTTAGGCACCATGTCGCCAGAGCCTCTAGAAAAGAGGAAGCGTGTGGGATATTTTTCTTGAATGGGGTCTGTTTATGTGTGTCACTTCTCTCTGATAATATTTTGTAGCCTACTTCGTGCTGAGGCCCTGCATAGGAAAACACTCAAAAGAGTAGCCTGTACCCGACTCGTGGGAACTGGAAGAGGAAAAGGGACAGACAAGGTCAAGTGTGGGTTTATTTTATCCTGATCTCTAGTCATCTCCCTCCTCCTTGAACCTGTTTCATGCAGGTGTGGCCCTCTCCAGCCGGTCTCCGGGGGGTGCCAGCAGCTGGGTTTCCTTTCTTTTGGAAACCACTTCCCTACAGAGGGACTCTGGGCAGATCCTGGTTCTCCCCCTTCGGCCTTGCCAGGCAGACGCAGACAGGCCCTCCACGAAGGGCCAGGGGAGGGGAGGCCGAGGCCGGAGGGAGGAGCCAACTGGAGGGAGCGGCGGCGGACGGGGGCTGGGAGGTTGAAAGGTAAACAGAGAAATCAATGTCTGGCGTTTTGTGGTTGCTTTTGCGAAGCACCCGTTTACCTTGCACAGTGAGGTATGCGGAACTTTCCACAGAGCCCTTCTGGTTGGTGGCTTTGCAGTGATAGACACCTTCATCCTCTTCTGTGACTCTTTCAATAAACAGCGTGCTGCTTCCTGGTCCTAAAATAATTCCTGAGGGGTGAGAGATGTTGAGATTAGCGGCCTGGATGACAAACAGACAGCTACCCATGTAACACAACCCTCTTCCTGTCAGGCATTCGGAGGAGGGGAGCTGAGCCCCCCGCTGACTCGGGGGCAGGGCTGCTGTGTTATTTTCCCTGTGTCCAGGCTTTTTAAATCCCTTGCACCACCACATCAGAGCTGTGACACCCCACTCTGGAGATGCAGTCAGGCCAGGCCACTTATGGTGCGTGAAGAAATGAGATGGTACTGCCATCCCCCACTGTAAAGAGTAACCATCAAGAAGATACCACCATCGGGTTGGCAGATAATGGTCCTATAAGTGTGTTTGTATGATCTGAATTCCCAGGTGTATAGTACAGCTGACAAGGGGCAAGGGTGTAGTCACTTCTTGGTCACAGCCAGCTACCCAGAGGGACTGAGTAGTTGAACCTGTGGGCTTGGGACCATAGTCGCAGGGGACATCAAGCTCAATTGGCATAACATACTA